TAGAACACTTGGAGAGAAGATGCAAAAACAAAGATAAACAAATCTACCCAACAATCACAGTGGAACGTGCGGTCAACACAACCAAGAACAACAGCTTAAGGAAGGAAAACACAACTTCGAGAAAGAAATTCCAAGCGAGGAGAGACTCTTCCCTTGCCACATGTGTAGCAACAGCCTCACTGCGGATGACCTTGAACCTCAGTTCTTACGCTGTCCTCCTAAGCCCCCGCCCCCATCTCGGGACATGACCTTCTGTGGAAATGGTCTTTGCCGACCTGACTCGTTCAGACGAGGTCAGACCTGAGTAGAGTAGGTGGCCCTCCCCCTGTAGGACGGGTGCCCTTGTGGAAAGGGGACATTCGAAGGCAGACACTCACAGCAGGACTCCGTGGGAACAGGAAGGCAGAGACCCGGTGATGTTTCCTCCAACTGAGGGTCGCCAGCAAAGTGCCAGAGCTGAGGGAGACCTGAGCAGACGCCCCTCGGGGCCATCAGAAGGAGCCACTTGGGGCACCCTGATCTCCGACTCCTGCCCCAGAACCGTGACACGTCCCTTCCGGTTGGGAAGGCCACTCCGCGAGCGAGCTGGCTTCCGCAGCCTTAGCAGACGGGCACCTGGAAGGTGCCACGTGTGGCTGCCTTGTGGAAGAAAAGTGTCCGAACAGAAAGGAACTGGTACGAGGGGTCAGGTCCATGATGATGCAGGACCCGTGCTGGTAGGTTAAAACAAAGGCCACGCGCTCTTGCCCGCACCCTGCCAGAGAGGACGGACATTTTCCGTCCTGTTTACACCGTTCCCAGCACAGGAGAACAAGTCCGGGCACTTAGTAAACATCCCCTGAACGCAATGGTGAGTCCTGTTGACTACTCCACGCGGCTCAGAGGTCATTGCCACGGGTTCCAACGAGACATTCAGACAGGGGAGGACGTCCAGGCTGGTCTTTAATTCACTATGGAAACACGGGGGTGGCAAGAGGCCCCTGAGGTTTGTCCCAATGTCACTGCTAGCTGGAGGCATAAACCCTGCTTTTCCTCAGGGGTCTGTTCTTGTCACGTTTCACGACGCTGCTTTGCTGTAGTAATTGGCAGAACGTGGCCCCTGTGGCTCCGCAGGGTTTTAAAAACCCTTCTGAGTTCTGACGCAGCGACTCGGTTACATTCGGCATGCACGGGACTTGACTGAGGGCTGAAATTTAATGTCACTCGATGTCTATATCCTTCTGCACGTGTCCCGCCTCTTGCCGGTAGGCAGGGACGGGTGACTCATTTTGGTCGGTATGCCCTGGCAGGAGTGTCACCACGGGGCTGAGGCAGAGAAGACACTCACAGCGTCTTGCCTGGTGCCTGTGCCCATCACAGTGAGCACACAGCCACCCACTGAGACAGCCGGACCACGAAATGAAAGAAATCCGCCCGCCTCCCTGGGTGGCCTCTCAGTAGGACATTTCCCTGGAGGTCATGGAGTCCCACGTGTAAAGTTCTTAAAATGCGAGGGTGTGTTTATTACGGCAGCTCAGTCTAGTCTAAACGAGTGCCTTCGGGAGAGACTGGTTTGAGAGCAACAGCTCCTTGTCGGGGTCTGAGAGAGCCAAGGGGGCGCCCGCAGGCACCCCAGGGGTCAGGTCTCAGACAGGACAGCACGTTGAGCCAAGAGCCAGGGAAACATGGGAAGCTGGCAGGAAGGGAGGACCCGGTCAGCAGAAAGGAGCACAGTGAGGGACCAGGGCTGTGCAGGGCAGGGCGGCAGGGTGTGGGCACCCAGAGCGCACTCCCCATGGACGTGGCCAGGAGCTATGATGTCCTGGAGGGCAGGACACAGCTGCATCCCCTGGACAGGGCTTGGCTGGGATTTGACAGGTGTGATGGATGTTATGGCGCCTTGTGCAGACCCAGCCATGGGCTCAGCGGGGGGGGGCTTCCAGTTCACCCTGACCTTCCAGGAGGGATGGGGCTGGGCCTTGAATGAATGGCCAGTGATTATGAAATCCATCGTGACTATGGAACGAAGCTTCGGTGAAAACCCCATAGATGAGGCTGGGAGAGCTTCCAGACTGATGAGCCCATGGAGATTTGGGGAGAGGGGGCACTTTCCCCATCTCATGCCCTGGGCATCTCTCCATCTGGCTGTTCCTGAGTTCTACCCTTGCAGCATAAGCAGCTGATCTAGTAGGTGACACGAAGGGAGGGGGATAGTCTTGTGTGTACCTGTGGGATCTGATGCTATCTCCAGGGGTAAGCGTCAGAATTCGGGCAGAGGGTAGGACGCCCAGCTGGTGTGGGGCTGAGCTGGGTGTGGGTAAAACCCACCCTGGAACTGGGAACAGAGTTGGGCAGGGACAGGTCCAGATGGTCCCAGGTGGACACACAAACCCCGCCCTTCAGGGCGGTTTCCAGATCGCTTGCTCCCGGCTTTGTGTTTATGAAGGTATTTTTTTAGATAAGGTGAATTCCCAGGATAGGAGATGCACTCACACTGATAAGCAAGTGCTTATCAGTAAACAACTCGAACCAAGTCCAGGGCCTCTCTCCAAACCATGTGTGGTTTTTTTAGTGCTGCTGACTCTCTTCCCACCTGTCGCGTGACCTGCTAAAAGCTGCTGCCCTCCCTAGAGCCAAGGGGCTGGCGGCTTTGTGCGCCGGAGCAGGCCGTGAACAGTGACACTGAGCAGAAACCCGAGCCTGTGGAGATGTCCGTGGCTGGAGGGAAAGGGAGTAACTCAGCAGTTACCTCTGGGTGATACAATTATGGGTAATTTTTCCTTTCTTCACTTTGCTTTCCTCTGTGTTTCAGATATTCCCCAAATGCGCATTATGACCTCTAGGGTCATGAACAAAATGTTAAAATCTTTCTGCTCTTCAAGCTCACATTAGTGGCCTCGTAGGACTTGCTATGCCAGTTTCTGGGTCCTTGTTATTTCCCCCTGACGGGGTAGGGTACACATCCTCAGGGGCTTAGCATTGAGTTGAGCACCCCAATGTGGCTGCGGTGACCCCGGCACGGTGATGGAGGACTCCTGCTGTCCCTGCAGCCTTTTCCCTGTCTCTGAGCCCCTGGGTGGGCACACATCGGACGGGGAGGCGGTGAGGCCATGGCCTTCCTGGAGAAGTGAGTGCTTCTAGCCAGAGGTCAGGACCAGCGCGAGCTCGAGCCCTCGTGAGCACTGGGGCCAGAGAGCTGGGAAAGGGGCACGTGATGGGAACTTTGACAGTTCCTGACTATGGAGCAGGGCCAGCCCCAGGCATCTGAGGGGCCGGGACTGGGTGGGCAGCTAGGAACCGGGGAGCTAGGGGTGAGCCCTGCCTCTCCTTGGATTTCATGATGCCAGACGCCTGCTCCTTGGACAGCTGACCGGTCACAGTCAGAGGGTGGCGCTCCGGCCACTCCTGTCCAGGGCTTTGCTGTGTTCACTGCCTGTCTGCAGGCACCCAACCCTTCCGATGTGAGCAGGGTTTGGACGGTGCATCCCCACAATGCTGGCTTTGCTTTTAGAATACAAGATGGTTTCCCCCAGCGGGTCCCGTCCACTCCGTCCTGTTGCCGAGACGGCTAAAGTACACTTATTCAGGACTGATAACCTTGGCGACTATTGAAGTGCACTTGCCTTTAGCAATGGCTGTTTGTAAAGCACACGGCGACCTTAAACATACTGACCCAGTGAGACAGGAGGCTCGTACAAAACTCCTTTTAATATATTACATCCGAGACACGTGAACCCAACACTCACGAGTATCAGAGACAGAGAAACAATATATACATGCATCTCCCTAAAACCTCCTGTGCACGCTCGAGAAAAGTCTTCACATTTGAAGTCTGATTAAAAAATAGTGTTTGCAACGGGGGAGCCTGCGCCTTGAATTTCTGCCCCACGAGCCCCATCTGGACTTGGGGGAGGCTTGTTTTAGGGCCACAGTGCTCTCTGTGGCGCCAACAGCTAGATTCCAAACTCCGGACCCAAGCAGAACAGGGGCGTCTGGTTTCAGAGATTCAGCCCAATCAGTGGTCTCGGTCATCTTCACACAAAAGGAAAGAGGAAAATTTCACAGCCCTGTCACTAAATAACAGAGAGCTTCACACTTGTCAAGCCAATGGGCTCTCACTAATGTCCAAGTATCCAGTTTCCTAAGACAAAATTCCAATCACATTGCTACAATGTAGATTTAAGCAGGAAGGAAAGACTGAAATAGTTGCCCTTCACACGTAAATGGAAATCTCAGTTAAATTACTCTGCTTTCTGGGTAAAAATGAGTCCATTTCATAGAACTGGAGAAATAGAGCAAAATGTTATAGAATCCCAGTCTGAACTGTACTGCAACGCTATCAACGGTTTCTCCCCTTTTAGAGGAACGTTTGGGTATTTCAAACAGGAAGACTTTGCAAATCCCGAAGGTGCGTCAGGAAACAGGGTGGTACTACACCAGCAGCTGGAAAATGCATCTAAAATCCTATAGCTTATTTCTGAAGTGCCGCTTTTTGTTGTTTGTTCTTTGTTTCGTTGTGGTATTTCCTTTTGGGAAAAGAGAAATGCAGGCTGCTTCCGCTTGAGAAAAATTCACTCGACGTCAGAGGAGTGGAGCCTCGGATTCCGACTTTGTTTCAGAGAACACCGACTGAGCACCTGCTGTGTACCAGGCCAGCCTCTGGGCTTTCACAGACCTGACCCTTGTGGAACAATGTGAGGATCAGCAAAATGCACTCATGCTGATTATGGTAACATCATCACAGCTTAGGAACTATGAAAACCTACAGAAGGAAAAACTTGCTAATTCACCTAGCTCTCTCTTTTTCACAAAAACCCTGGTGTTCACTTGCTCCCTGACGCAGCAAGTGTTTTATTTAGTTACTTAGTTAGTGAGTTAATTAGCTAGTAGTGGTCTGACTGTCCTCTGGAAAATGTATGACGACTCAACGGAACACAAACATATTTCAGTTGAATTATAATGACTTAAAATTTGAAGTAGAAATATCTTTTCTGCGAAAAAAAAAAAAAAAAAAACCCACAAAGGACAAACCTTTCAAAGTCAGCCTGTCTTGAAAATACAGTAGATTTCCAGGGGGAAGCTGTGTCTCCCGGCAACATCTCACGGCACCTAGAGGCCATCCGTGGAATGGCAGCCGCATTAAAATAGCTCTCTCTTTGCTCGGGGGAAAATCTTTCCATGATTTTGCTTTCTTGAAACAATGATCGGAAATTATTATTCTACAGGCCATGGGATACTGTCTCGGTTGCACAAGTAAATGGCATGTGATGTTCCCACCAGGAGTGGGCTCTGGCCCCTGACCCAGCGCTTGCTCAGTGCTAGCAGAGGAAGGTGCTGGACCTGAGCATCCTGACCTGCACTGTTTCATTTCAAGTGATTCGGCGTCAACTGAAGAAAAGGACGTTGTGCCACAGCTTCATTTACATACGACCAGGTGCAGTCGGTGTCCTTTCGCCCTGTCGCGGGAGTTTCCACTGGACAGACTTGAACAGCAGGTTTGCATGACCACCCAGGCCCTGACCTCTTGTCGGCTTCAGCATGAAATAAAAGTGTGTCTTGGTTTTGCTGAGAGTCTTGGGAGAGGAAGTGGGGGGGTGGCGATCTCACATTCTTGCATGGTCAGCCTGGGCGTGGGCTGGGTCAGGGCATCGCTGGTGCAGGCGACCACCTCGTCGGCAACCGCCGAAGACTCGTACGATCATCTGTTCGCCTCTGAAACAGCTGCTGCCCTCTCGGGCCTCCTGGGTGGGAGGGAGGTCCAGAGTGCGATGATGTAGGAGCAGAGAAGGAAACAGTGACAGGAAGCAGAAACGATCAGAAGAGATATTTCCCAATGTTTTTTTTCAGAAGTGAAAATGGGCATCTCGATCTTTAGCAGAAAAGAATTGACTATCAAAGGAACAAACTAGAGGGAAAAAAAAGCTTCGAATGCCAATGCAGGAATCACAATACACAGTGCTCAGAAAAATCCAAACCAAAATAAGCTAGTGAATGGTTTTGCATCGCCTACGAATTTCAGTTTTCCGAGTTCTGTGTTTGGGGACCGTGGACCTCAGGGATCACGTGCCACAGAGCGTCAGACCTGGGCCCCCACAGACGCACATGAGGCCAGGGCCGCACCGGAGGCCCCGCGCCGGCGGAGTGTGCCCCAGGCTCAGCCCTACCAGTCCAGCTTCAGGTCGGCCTTGCTCCACACGTACTTCCCTCCCCGCGTGAGAAACGCCTTCTCGTCAAAGCCACTGAACTTGATGGCTTCATCCACTCCGACGTCCAGGATGGACTTGGAAGGGTCCTTCCGCCCCTTTCTGCAGTTCAGGAAGCGCATCTGGAAAATTCAGGACAGAGATGGGATGTTTCTGTACAATGTATCCTGTAAGAGTCAGTGTTGGGGTTCGGTCCTTTTTTTTTTTGGTATTCCAATCATTTCGTCACACGTTTGCTGTGGGCTGGACGCTACACTGAGGACGCTGAACTCCTCGGACACCGTGGCTGCAGTCCGCCAGGTCACCTTGACCCAGGTGAACACCTGGTCTCAGGTGAGTGCGTGACAGACAGAGCTGCGGACCTGCCCCGGAGGCGGGTGTCCCTGCGCTGGGTGGGGGTGGCCATCTGGAAGGCTTTGGGAAATGACCCCATCTCCTGAATGCTAGGACCCTGGAAGCCTGAGGGGGTTCTTTTGGGGTCCCCAAATAGATTCTGTTTGAATTCTGAACAGCTGCTTTGTCCCCTGCCCCCAGAGGTCCCCAGAGAAAAAAGAAATGGTGGCAAAGTATCTTCGGTTCACTCGAAAACAACAACACGCTAAGAGGGACAGTCGGGCATTTCTTAACAGCAAATCCAACTTAAATACTGACGTCATGGTTCGCGTTAGAACTCATTTCTTAAAACAGGTGTTTGAATGGAATGGCTTGTTCAGGGTTAGACATATGGATGAAGATTTATGGATCCGGACGACCCTTCCCCTGCCCCCCAAAAAAAGACACGGGCAAAGTGGTACGTTTTCCAGTTTGAGAAGGGCGGTTCCCTCTTCCTTTGGGGGGCAGGAAGGGCAGGGATCCTGTCGGTGGCTTTGGGGAGGACCTGACACCTCTTGTCATTGAAGCCGCGATGGTCAGACAGGCTGAGCTGCAGCACCTGAGACACGGCAGGTCCCGAGACCTGTGACACGGCTCCCCTCCAGAGTGCCCTGGGAGCCGTCACCAGGACGCCTCAGCCCAGGATGGCCCCGCCGAGGGCCTCTACGTGTCGTGTCCCTGCACTGAGACACCAGGGACCCACAGCCAGATGGCCACCATCGCCTGGCTCCGAGTACAGACCCAAGGGCGGGGCTCACGTATCGCCGCCGGGGGCTTGGCTCGGAACTTGGCTGGGTCACCCCAGTGCTGCTCAGTGGCAGCCGACTGTGACATGCCGGCCGAGAACCCGTGTGGACTCATCGCTTACGCGGTGACAGCCCTGGGGCCATGGCTCAGTTAACTGGTAAGTGACAGTGTTCTAGGTCACTGGGGATACTCACGTACTCATCCAGAATGAGGTAGGAATCTTTCATCTGCAAAGGAGACACAAACAGAAATTCAGGTTCGAGTGCGTTTTCGGTCCGAGTGCGTTTTCGGTCCCAGGACACTTGCGTGCCTGTGTCTACCCCGTCTGGGCTCAGCGCCTGGGAGTCTCTGAGTATGTCGCCCAAGGTGAGCCCTCCCCTCACACAGCTCTGGGGACCGCTGGCAGGGAACCTCGGGCGACTCCGCTATTTCTAGCTGGGGGAGAGGCTGTCTTCCCTGCCCAATGTCCCCAGGGGGGTTCCACCAGGGGTCCATCTCCCCTTCTCAGTGTCCACATCACACCGAGGGGCAGCGCATCTCCCGACAGCCCTCGGGTCCCACTGTGCCCAGGCGGGGAGGGGCTGCCTGAGGGGCTCCCAGGCCCCGCGCGGGAGGCCAGGCCTGATGGTGGCCTCCGCCTGAGACGGCCCCTCCCCTCTGTCCACCGGAACCCCGTGAAGGACACTGGGGAGCCCCTGGGCGAGACATTCCCCTCTCCGGAGTCAGTGTGGCGGGGCGACGGGGTCGGAAGCCCAGCAGACACCTTGTCGTTGCATTCGGGCACCAAGCAGGACACCTCCTTGTGGCGGTCCAAGAACTCCTGGAATTCCTCCTTGCTGATGACGAAGCGCTCCGCCTCCCTCAGGGCACCGTCCCCCGAATTCTCGCCCTCGATGATGAGGCACTGGAACACCTGGAAGACAAGTGGCGAGGGGCCCCTGTCTGCCGGACGCTCCTTGCCCAGCCCCTCGAGGACATTCAAACCCAGGAACATTCTAGAAGGCGTGGCTCTGGGGAAACGGGAGCTCGTCCTGCATTTGGGAAGCACCCATATTCTTAAAATGTAGACTTAAAAACGGCGTCTAGATGACATTTGACTTAGTCTCATAATCTGATTTTTTTAGACTGCCAATCGAACGAAGGCTCACTGAAGGATGCATGAGCCATACAAAAACTTCGAGAAATAAAGCAAACCGTGTGCAATCCCCGAACCCAGACAGACATGTTTTCAGAACACTGTCGTTCCCGCTGAGTTTGGTTATATCCTTATTAAGGCCTCTGGAATGTACTGGGTTTTCAGTTCATATAAAAGGATAGTTTTCCAAATCCATTAATCATTTTTTCTACATTCTTCTAAGTAAATAAACAGGTGTGCAGGGGTGTGTGTGTGTGAGTCCATCGTAAGGAACACACCCTCCGCAAAGGGACACCTCAGTCCCAGGAACTGTCAAGGTGACAAGTGACAGCCGACCAAAGTCCACTCGTGTGGGGCTCGGAGGGGACCCTGCGCAGCATTTAATGTGTTTCGTCCACTGAGAAGTAATTGTATGTGCCCTAAGGTTTGCTTCCTGTGCTTACTCTATACCCCCGCCCCCCTATCCTGGGCTCCCCAGGCCTGTGACATCCGCCCGTGTGGCCCCTGGGCACACGGTCGTCCACTCTTGGCCCTGCTGACTGTCTTCCTCAGGAGGCTACGAGCATCGTGGGAGGAAGCACGACTCATCTGTGCTGGAATGAGCCCCCACGTGTCCCCTACAGGTGACAGCACTCCCCCCCATGAATACACAAGAGTCCCTACTCCCAGGCAGCTCAGGGCTGGCGTTCCGTGGACGGAGCCTGGGAGCCCCTGGCCTCGGGGACCCGGCAGCCTCGGGAAGCCAGGTTCTGAGCCGCGTGGCGGTGGCACAAGAACAGGCATCTGGCCCAGGGGCATCGGCTGACGTCGATCTGCAGCCTGTGGGCACCACCATCTGGGGAGGGACCTGCTCTGCACACAGCTGCCGAGAGCCCTCTCTCCACAGAAATGGGCCATGAAAAGGCAGAGCCAGGGACTCGGGCAGGTGGGAGCCAGAGGGGGAGACGAGAGGTCAGAGGAGAGAGTCTTTCTTAACTGCGCCACGGAGAAGGGGCGGGACCACGAGTGGCCAAGGCTTTGGAGAGAAGGAAAAACATGTATCTATAGATGAAGAGAGGATAGTGAGGAGGCGTTGGGGGAGGGACCGGAACGGAGCTGGTGGAGGGACAGGCGACCAGAGGACACTGAGACCTCAGACCTGAGCCCCTGGCCCCAGGCTGTCCCTCCCCACTGGTCCACAGCCTCCCCCTCCTGTCACCCCCTTTATGCTTTTTTTCACATTTTTTTTCAGTCCCTCCTAGGCCCAGGAGATACTCTGTTTACTTAGATGTAACCAGAGTTGAAGTTCATATCTCAATTTAAAAATTAAAAAGTAAGTGCGGTTGCCTGCTTCCCCCAGGCCACTTCGCCTGTCACAGGGCAGCCTCAGGAAGCAGCCTGCCCGCCTCTGCCGCGTCTCTCCTGCCCGAGTGCTGGTGCCGAGTCAGCAGGCCGGGCGGCCCAGGGAAGCGGCTCCTCCTTGCCGTGTCTTCAGGCCTGGACACCACTTTCTTCCACCTTCCGGGCCACGGACATTCTGCCCATTTTTCAAGGCCTAGCCAAATACCACCTCCAACGGGAAGCCCTCCAGGCACTCTGGCAGAATTAGCCTAGCACACATAGCCTTACGTCACAGTTTTCTCGTCTCGTCTCCTTGCTGGGATTGAATTCGGCATCTTATCCTCAGTTGCATGCACTCTGGGGTCCGGCACAGACTCTGGTTACCTAGTAACAGTCACCGGGGCAGCACGTGAAGAGGCCATATCCGTGTGCTCGCCTGCTCAGGTCGGGCCGCGCCCAGCGCCCGGCCCCAGGTCCTATTTCAGGGCGGTGGGGACGGGGTGAGGTCCAAGAAGCTGTTCTTCAAACAGGTCTCTGAGTTGATTCTGCAGAACAGCCAGGGGCAGAGCACGGACTGGCGATTATTCGAAGGCACCTCCGCACGGGGCTGGCACACTTCGAATGGCGTGTGCTCGACTGAAGACCCCTAGGCCGCGGCCGCACGGCTGACCCCAAAGCATAGGTCTCGGGGCGTGAATTCTGCTACAACTTGGGAAGGGCCTTGCCTCAGTATCTCCTCATAATCCAGTAAAAGTGGAGGAGCAGGGTTTACGAAGAACACGTATCCATGCATAGAGGAGCCAGAGTGGTAGGCAGTGGTCTCCGTCTCCGGAATCGACACGGGGGGGCGCCTGGGCCGTCTTCTCTAGAATGAATCTGAGCAGTGGGCAGGCCTCTGGCCGTTGTCCTCACAACATTCCGGAAGGGAGTCAGTCCCCATTCAGGAGGGGAAACCGAGGCAGAGGGGATGTAAGTAGTCTAAGGGATGAAAGACGGCGGACCCGGCTCCCCGCCGGGGCTGCAGCTCAGAGCTCCCCGCATCCTCAGCGTTTTGGGGTTCCCTACAGCAGTTTTCTCCTGACCTTTCGTTTCTGTGTGAGCACAGAAACATGCGTTCTATTCCCGCGAATGTGTGCGTTTCAAAAGAAAGCACGGAGGGTATAGACCACACTGTTGTGCCGTAGAATATGGGATATGGGGCGGTGGGGGTTAGTTTAATGTCAGAGGCACAGTGAGTCCTCAATGTCATCCCCAAGGTCACAGAAACCGCACCTTTAAGCAAAGCCCAGGAACAAAACCAGCTGGACCACAGGCTCATCGGTACAAATAGGAGTGAAGTTCCTACAGCACATTTCTGGTCATAAAAACACCTCCCAACTTCTAAGTAAAGGCCCACAGCACTTCTCATAGTAAACATTGGAATGAACATTTAAGAAATGTCTAAGCGCCCAGCCGGTGTGGCTCAGTGGTTGAGCATCAACCCATGTACCAAGAGGTAGCCGGTTCGATTCCCGGTCAGGGCACCTCCCAGGTTTTGGGCATGATCCCCCCAGGAGGTGGTCAATGGATACTCTCTCTCATCAATGTTTCTGTCTCTCTCTCTCTCCCCCTTCCTTTCTCTCTAAAATCAATAAAAGAAGAAAAATTTTTAAAAAGCAATGTTTAAGAAAGATAACTAACAAGAAGATAATTCTTTTTGAACTGGCTTATTCCAATTCAAGGTTGCAGGTGGCCAGAGCCTGCTAAGGGTGCAAGGTAGGAACCCCCCGAACAGGACACCTTTCATTGCGGGGTGTGCACGCGCGCACACACACACACACACACACACACACACACAGGACACCTTCCACTGCGGGGTGCGCACACACACACACAGACGGGGACATTGTCGGCACACCGGTTCACCTCATCTGCACATCTTTTGGATGTGGGAGGGGCCTGGAGTCCCCAGAGAAAACTCACAAAGACATGTCCCCCGAACTTGTAAGATGATGGACAGCAGAAGCCGCCCCGGCCTCACCTTCCAGCGGACGGGGCTCAGCTCTTTGATGTGTTCCCGCATGTCCTCGTCCACGTTGAATCGGTTGATGACGGAGTTGACCTTGAAGGCCACGCGGTAATCCCTGCACCACCTCCTCAGCTTGTGGAGGTTCTCCACGTGGTTGATCTTCCCTTGGCCTCGGCCGATGAGGACATTGACGTCCTCGTTGAAGCTGTCACAGGAGATGGCGAGAATGTCCAAGTACTGGCCTGAGGGGACATAACAGCTCTCAGAGTTCCATCCCGGGAACAAGGCCCCAGGCCCTTCTTATCTCTTTGTGACCAAACATACCTGCTTTGCACGTATACTTTAATTTTTTCAAAACGACTTTTTTTTCACACCCATGACACTCCGCAAAACGTGTGTTATACTTGGCACACGGGTCAAATAGCCTTGAGAAGAACACCGGCCATGCGATGACCGAGATCCCGGGCTTGGCGGTCCTGGTGGCCTGCCCGGGTTGTGGCACTCGCCGGACGTCAGCGGGGTGTTCTGCTCACGACGGCCTCAGGGCCCAGAACTTCCAAGTCAGGCGGACACCTTGGGTCCAGGACCTCCGCAGACCCACCCTCCTCCCCTCACGTGGCTGGACTTGCTCTGTCGAACACTGACCTATTTTGCCACATTCTTTGGCTTCCTGACCTCTTCTCTATACTTGATTCATCATCTCAATGTCTGTGGAGACCCTGCTCCGTGCAGGGCATGAACCTTAGGTGCTGAGGGAGCCAAGGTGCCCGGGAGGTTGGCAGGAGGCGGAGAACAAACCCCTCCCGGTGGCACAGCCTGTGGGAGCCGGGCCGCTGGTCCTTGGGGGTCAGCGAGGACCTGGGGAAGCTCCCCCGCTCGGCCTCCTCCATCGCTCTCCGGTACCTCGCGCTCCCCCTGAGTCTCCCAGCCCCCCTTTCCTTCCTTCTGCTCTAGACCCCCACCTCCCTTTCTGTCTGCTGTCATTTCAGTGCATCTACTTCAGTGTTATTCTGCACCAGCTTCCGACGGACAGCACAGTCCTGTACTTCGCACACTGGTCCCCATCGCCTGTGTGTCCAGCACGAGGTCCCCGCCGCTCAGCCATGTCCTTGCAGTGGGCGGCGTCTGAGCTCCCCCGTTCTCGGGCTGGGCCCAGGAAACTCCACAGCCCCACCCAAAGCCGCCCTCAAATGAGAGGGACCAGGGTCCCAGAGACTGGGAACAGCTGTTCCACTGACTTTATAAGAGACTAATTAAAAAATAAAAAGTTATTTCTGTAAGTATTAAAAAAAAATAAGTGTTGGCAGCAAACGACCAAGGCCGGCTTGCTCACCCCAGTGCGCTCAGGGTCCCTGCCAGGCCTCCGGGGGCCCTTGGCGCTTGCGGCCCGGAGCAGGCGCAGGAGCGCGCTCACTAATGTTCCCCTTATCAGCCTGTCCACACTTGTTTACGTGGGCCCAGAACTAAATATCCTTAACGCGGCGCACAGCTTGCGGAGAGATTAGAAGCAGCGTGTCTGGTTCCCTCCCAGTCCCCACAGGCCCGGGCTCGGGAGGGCGGGGAGCTCACCGTAACTCGCGAACCACCGCTCCCGGACGAGGCTCCCGTTGCTGACCACGCTCACGCTGGGCAGCCCCAGGTCGCGCTTGCAGAACCTCACCAGCTCGCCCAGGTACTGGCCCCGGTCCTGCAGGAAAGGCTCTCCGCCCGAGAAGTTGATCTTCTCCATGCCTGGGGGGAAGAACACACACCCCTCTGTCCCTCTGGCCACGACATCCACCCTTCTCCCGATGGCCCAAGTCCTGTTGTCTCAACGTCACAGACATGAAAGAAAACCGCTCCTTGTCCGCCCCTCCTCGAAGCCCAGATTCCCTGCCACCGAGTTTCATGGGAACAACCGTGTGTAAACCGTGTGTTTCCTTCACAAGGAAAACGCCACCTGACGTGTCCCCTCCTTAGACTAAGACGGGTGCCCTGTAACATAGGGACTCTCATTACTCAGGGATGGAGCAGCTTGGAGGCCCGGGCGCATGGGGCAATCCAGAGGCGTGCAGAGCGAACACCCTCCCCCGATTTAGAACCATCTAGAATGTGTGTTCTCCGCCACTCAGCCCGAGACGCATTGTCCATCCTTCCTGATCTCCCTCTGGTCCAGGGAGCCCTGACCTGCTCGCCACTCTCCTCCCTTCCTTTGGAAAATTCTTTTAGGACTTTTCTGGGAAAAAAAAAAGTGAACTATGAATTAAAGTGAGGACTTGCATGTTTTAAAATAGACGTGTGGTCAGCAGTTTGGCCTAACGTGTTAGATGCTTCGTGCTCCGGGTTGGAAGGGCCTTGCTCACTGTCTTCTAGGTGTTCACAGTACTGTTCCGAAGTCTGGTGACACTCTTATGCATAGCTCTTCTATTGTATGTTTTTAAATATGTTTTTACTGTTTTTTAGGGAGAGAGAGAAACATCTATCAGCTCCTCCTGCACACCCCCGACTAGGAATCGAGCCTGCAATCCGGGCACGTGCCCTGATCGGGCATCGGACCAGGACCTCTGTCCATGGACGACGCTCTGTCCACTGAGCCACACCGGCCGGGCTAAATAGGCATTTTAAAGGAAATCCCTTTCCCTTCCAGAGGCTGGACTGCCGGGGCCATGTGCCTCAGCAGAGAGGGCACGACATGCCCTGGAGCCCCGAGAACGTCTTTGTTAATCCACCTGCGGAGCAGACGGGATGCCCACCGGGCACCGTGCCTGGCAGCGGAACGTGGCGCTGTGACCTCGCTTATAAATGCCCTCTGGACCCAGGTGCAGGCCCAGCGAGACAGCCGAGAGCCTGGGGGCAGAAGTCGTGTATCCCCAGCGGACGGCGCTGTGCTGACGGGGGCCCTGGAGAGTCCCCGGAGCGGAGTGGGGAGGAGGGGAGAAGCAGGACACGGAGGGCAGGAAGTGAGGGTCTCGGCCCCGCGCAGCCCACCCACAGCCCCGTGCACACACGAGGGCTGAGCGCAGCCCAGCAGCCAGGCTCAGGGAGGGTCGGGGCCAGCAGCCTGCTCAGCTCGAAAGCCCAAGGCGGAAATGACAAACAAGTATCTTCAGCACAGCAGTGAGTCTTAGTTGTAGATAGGTTGTACACTTACACAGAAATGGATTTAAATGATCATGGGAATGTACATTTTTAATCATCTCCCCGACAGCTTTTCCTCCTGAGCCGGGAATCTCCCCGTACCAAACCCAACCATTTTCATGGGCGTCGCTTCTACTGACTTCCAGCTGGGAGGTCATTCTATGCAGGCGTTAATGACAACTATTCATAATAGTCCTACTGTATCGGGGTACATACGCACTCACTTACTCGTGTCTTGTGAAAAATACGCTGAGGCTGCTACAGGGGTTATTATTGTTATCTACACTGTAAAGACAATCAAAGTGAAATTCAGATAAGTTGGATCTCTGGATCAATCCTATCCCTGTGGAATTCAAGCCCAGGTCTCTGGGAATCAGGAGGCAAGTTCCTTCCACAGGACAAGACTGCTTCTCATCCATTCGTTCATCTGTCCCCAAACATGCCAGGCCCCTGCCGTGCTCTGCACACCTTGCTGGGCAGGAAGGTGCACACATCCTGAGACTCAGCCTGGGAACTCAAACTCTTCAGGGACTCGGGTATTCAGAACAAAACAACAAAACGAACACAGAGGTACAGTGTAAAACGTACTGTAGTTCGCGTGTGTGACAAAGGTCACAGCATCACAGAGGAGGGGGAGACCATCCTGCCCGAGGAGGACCAGGAATCTCACCAACAGACACAGGGTGAGCGGCATTCCAGGGGGAGAACAGCGTGACCACAGGCTGGAGGGAGCAGGTGTTGGGGTGCAGGGTGGGACGTGATGTGCCCACAGCAGAGGGGACGCAGGCCTCGGAGTGGGCATGCTGACTGCAACGCTGAGCTAGCCAAAGCCTCGAAGGCGGGGCTGGCAAACGTGGGTCTGGCCGGTGGGGGAGTTAGCGCATCACGGATCTATCTTAGCAAGGTGGCATGCTTCCCCGTGGGGACAGCAGGGGCCATGAGCTGACATGCGAGGGTGAGACCCTCAGCTGGACCCCACAGAACCGAGAGGCTGGGGGTCACTGAGCAAACCCCATGAGGACAGAATGGGTCAGATCCAGCCCAATGCACACTTTGGCTGCATCAGGTACAAATGAGGCACAACCTGTCCCTCAGCTATGGGATGAGCGAGTGGTGACCTCGGGGAGGAGGAAAGTGGCCCAAAGGGAGCTGGCCCTCCGGGAACAGTGCCGTCTTCCCAGACGTGGGAGCTGCTTCCCTGCTGGGGTCACAGGGGCGCCCTCAGGATGTGGGCAGCTGCGGGTGCGCCTGTCCTACCTCCGGGAAAAAGCTAAACCACGGGAGGGAAAGTGGACGATGCTGCCGCTGTTGCTCCTTTGGAGCAGCGCTGGGAGGACAGAGTGACAGGGAGTGAGGGAGCCTGCTGAGTGGACGGCGCCCCCGAATGGACGCGCTGTGCTCCCTCTGCCTCCTGCCCATCCTCGGGGGGCTCAGGGTGGGGGCCTTGGCAGCAGAGCCTTTCCAGCTGCAGTGGAAGCTCAGCGTGGCGGTTCTGAGTGGGAGTCCTTGTGTTTGCCTGGACGTGCTTCTCTCTCTCTGCAAAACCTGACCCATCCGTGCGTTGGACGGGCCCAGAAAGTACCGGAGCCTTCGCAGCCTGCCTCCTCCCCAGCGCCGGGCTCGGTGGTTTAAATAGACCTCGGCGCCCACCAGTGGCCATCCGCGCCCAGCACTGCCTCCAGGGATGGCGTCCCCTGCGGTGGGAAGCACTCAGGTCCCCCAGCCCGTGTGGGTCCCCAGCCGCTCCCCGGGGCCGAACCCCATCGGGCCGGGACTCACCGGCGTCCTTGAGCAGCCGCAGCCCCCGCTTGGCCTCGTCCAGGGGCAGCACGAAGGAGGTCTTGGCCGTGTGGAAGCAGAAGCCGCACTTGTAGTTGCACTGACGGGTGAAGTGGTAGTTGACGCTGGTGGGGGTGAGGGGCCCATCGCCGCTGCCGTCCTCCTCCTCCTCCTCCCCGGTCCCCCGGGGCTCTCCCCCAGCCGGCTGCCTCTGTGCCGGGTCGGCTGCTGCCAGCCAGAGGGTGGCCCTGAGCCAGAGGAGCAGAGGGGCCAGGCTGGCCCACAGCGAGCTCAGAGGCTTCCTGAGCGCGCCCAGCAGCTTCCCAGCCACAGCCTGGGGGACGAGGACCCACATGGTGTCAGGCGTCTGCAGCGCCGCGGCTCGGACGCTCACTGATATGTGTGCAGTCACGTGGTCCCAGGGGAGGGCAGACACACCTCTCTTGCTAACTCTCAGCTGAGCTTGAGTTTCGATTTTTCTCTCCGTGAAAATGAAAGTTGGCGCAGGGCCAGGGCTGCAGGCTGAGGACTCTGGGCTGGGGGCTGGCTGCCTGTCCTGGCCTCAGCTTTGCTCGCGGCCTTGAACCTGGGTGGAAGTCCACGGCCAGCGCAGGTGATGGAGCCAGATACGGAGTCCCTCTGCTGTGGTGGCCCTGCCCATGCGTGACATCACATCCAGAAACTGCCACGCTCTCACCCTCCCTGCGGTGGGCACTGGCCGAAAGTTTGCCATGAAAGTGGCGGAGAGAATGACCCCCACCTGCCACCCCGAAGGACGGCAGCAGAATCCCTCCGTGAGCCTCTGACCGCTGCAGGCCAGTCAGAACGCACAGGCACGCCCCTCCCGAGCCCTTGGCTCCACACGGGTCTCGGGGGGCCAGGTGGAGACGGGTGTGCGTCCCTGCAGTCCTGGGCATGTCCACACCCCTCGGACCCGAGGAAACGCAAGTGCTTTTCTAAGATGCTTCTTACTTGGCAAGCGTGTGGCTGGCCACGTTTTTGCACAGTGTTCTCAGAGAGCATCGCTGCGTTCGCACTGCGGGTTTCTCCCGTTCGCCCCCCTGCCTCAGGTCTGTTGGAGCTCCGCCTGGTCTGCAGGAGGCCGTGACCCTGGGCCAAGTCCGAGTGTCTGAGCTTCCGAAGCCCCAAATCCGAGCTCGTCACTGACCCACTGACCAGCCTGGGGCTCCGGGGACGTTTCTGTTTCCCTGGATCGTTCCCTCGGTGGTGAGATCAGAGCTGCTCACCTGTCAGACCCGCGGATGTCCTCGGGTCACCAGTGGTTGAGACGGAGGGGACCCGAAGCGCTCAGGGCGGTGCTGTTGCCGTGGCGGCGGATGTGTCTGCAAGGAGCCCACACCTCTGGCTGTTTCCTGGGAAAGGAAACCGAAAGCCCGGCGGGGGGGGTGGGGGGTGTCAGGAGTGTGGTGACTGGGGACCTGTTATGCAACGACCGGTGTGAGCCAAGTCCCTGCTGCTGTGGCCAGGAGCACCTAAATTCTCATCAGAAGCCCTGTTTGGATAGATCACGTGTGTATGAAGAAATGAAAAACAAATCAGTTGCATTTGCAGTCCAGTACCAGGGGTGTCACAGAGGGTAACCAGGCAGGCTTTTGAAGCAACACATTTTCAGGTGCGAATCCTAGTTCAGCCAACGTTAGTTTGGGGTAAATTTCTTTACCTGTTTGACCTTGGTTACATATCTGGGAAGGATGGGTATTAGCGTCCACCTCACGCAGGGAATTTAAGGGTTAAATGACATAAGGCAGATGTAATGTATATTAAGTACTGAGAGTAGTGGTGAGCGTAAGAAATGAGGAACGTCACCTGGCCGGTGTGGCTCAGTGGACCGAGCATCGTCCCATGGACTAGGAGGTTCCAGTTCGATTCCCGGTCAGGGCACATGCCCGGTTGTGGGTTCGACCCCCAGTGGGGGGCGTGAGGGAAACAGCCGATTGATGTTTCTCTCTCACGTAGATGTTTCTATCTCTCTCTCCCTTCCTCTCTCTAAAAAAATCAATAAAAACATATTTTAAAAAATGCTGATGCCTGCGTACCAGGCGTGAGGTCACACTTTAGAGGCTTGTACTTTACCCCTGGAGAGATTCACGTCACGTGGGACACAAGGGATTGAACCAGGATTTAAACACTTGCAACACTGCTCAGTAATTAATCATCACGGTCACGATTTTCTATTATTACTTCTCAGGTCTGTTCGGTCCAAGCCAGTCTCTTTCACTCGTTCATTTGTTCGTTCATTTGTTCACTCACTGAGGCCTTCTTTCCTCCGGCAAGTGCTCATTGGCTGCCTCATCTGTATCAGGTATGAGATTAATATACGTGAAAAATATACATAAAATCGGTAAGTCAACGTCCTTTCTGGCAAAGAGCTCAGAGCTGGCAACTGTCCCGATGATATTTTTTTTTCTAAATATATTTTTATTGATTTTTTAGAGAGAGGGAGGGAGAGAGAGATAGAAACACCGATGTGAGAGAGAAACATCAATCGGCCGCCTCCTGCACGCCCCCTACTGGGGATGGAGCCCACACCCCGGGCAGGTGCCCTGACGGGGAATCCAAGCGGGACCTCTCAGTCCCTGGGATGATGCTTAAACCATGGCGCACACGGCCGGGCCCGATGGTATTCTTTGAACATGGCTTATTTCTCCCTCACGGGCCTTTGTCCATCAGCGAGTGAGGTTCAGGAGTGGGGGCCTTTCCTCTTCCCAGTCGTGGTTGTTCAAGGGCAGAGGGTTTCTTCCAACTGTCACGTAGCCGGAGGGAGGCCGAGGCAGCCCCTTCCTGCTCCCCGCTCCTCAGAGCTGGCCACAGCCGGAGGTCCCCACCACTGTTCTGACCCCCCGAACATCTGTCTGTAAGCACGCCAACACTCCTAGCATACTCCGGGCTCTCTGTTGCGGACAGTCCCCTGCGGCAACACCAGACATTGGTCCAAGCGCGTTAGTCGATCGTGGGATCGGTTCACTTACTCACAAGCCTCTTATTGGTTCTCTGGTGAATCTCTTGTTGACGCACACTTTGCATTGCACCAATGCACATTCATTCACAAACGTATAGCACGACACACGTGTGACAGAATGAACATGTCTAGGTAACAACCATCTTGTTTAAAACAAAACAAAACAAAACAACTTGACCAAGACCTTGACCTCTCCAGCATCTTCGCCAGGCCCCGAGCCCACGTATGCCTGGAAGGTCATCCTGTCCTGTTTCCACAACCATCCTGCAGGTTGGCCTGCTTTTGAATTTTAATATTTTTTCTTTATCTATTTTTAGAGAGAGAGGAAAAGAGAGAGACAGAGATAGAAACACGATGAGCGAGAACATCGACGGGCCGCCTCCTGCATGCCCCCCACTGGGGATGGGGCCCACAACCTGGGCACGTGCCGGCCGCCTCTTGGTGCAGGGGTCGATGCTCAACCACTGAGCCACACCGGCCGGGCATGAATTTTAGATGGATTCACACAGTGTGGTCTCTTCCCTGTCCAGCTCTTTTCGCTCCGCATCTGTAGACGTAGCCGCTGCGTTGTTTGGAAGCGGCGTGGCCCCATCGGCAGCTGTCTGGGATCCGCGGTCAGAACGCACCGCGGTTTGCTTACTGTTCTACCGTGGTGAGCGTTGGTGGTGCTTTGCATTTATGCTATGACATTCCTTGTAAAGCACTTGCATGTGTTCACGGACCAGGAGTCGAGTCACTGGCTCACCAGGAGCGTGTCCCAGGGTGTCTGAGCCTGTCTGCGCACCGACCAGGGTAACGCCGGCTGCCAGTGACCGGCATCCTCCTGCCCCCAGCATTGCCGCCGCACGCTTGGGTTTGTCTCGTTTCACTTTAGCCGTCCCAGTGGGTGTGTAGTGAGTGGCATCTCCTTGTCATTTCAGGGTCCGTTTCTCAGATGACTCGCGGTGCTCATCACCTTTCAATGTGTGTGCCGGCCATCTGGAGATTCTCTTTTGTGAAGCACCTGCTCCCATTCCTTGCCCGTTCCTGTGTTGGGTTTTTGCACTTTCAGGATTGATTTGTAAGAACTGATTGTGTGCCCTGCTTGGTTTTGTTATACGTGCTGCAAACATTTGTAACCCCTTGGGGCTCCCGCGCGCTCACTGGCTGGTGGATGACATTCATGTGACGAGTGTAATGTTACTGATTTACAGTGCTGTGTGCGTGTGCGTGTGTGTGAGGTTGTGTTTTAGTGGTGTCAAGAGGACCCTCATGTTTGCCGACTGGCGGGAAGAACTCATACGACGCAGGAGCATGTCACACTCGCAGGTGGGGCTCGTCCAGGGAAAGGCTCACACAGTCTGGTAGGGCCCTTGGCCTCCGGGGCCTCCGCCATCTGGGGCCACACCGGCGGCACCTCCTCTCTGGCCGTGAGGCACAGGGACATGTGTGAGACAGCTGGTCCGGGAAGCCGTGGTCACCTAGCCTCAGGACCCCAACGAAATGAGTTGCCCATCCCCCGTCTTAACGATGTGGCACAGGAGCCAGACAGGCTGGTGAGGCGCGCCACCTGGTTCCAGGTGCACCCACGGACCGCCAGTGGTTCATGTCAAGAACCTTTCCAGGGCTGGTTTGGCCAGGGTCAGTCCTGGCTCCGAGCGTCCCTGGAGAGGTGCCAGGGGAGAAGGACCTCTGTTCCTGCTGGGCTGGCTCTCTCCGCACAGGAAAATCAACTCCGCAATCCAGCAGACCACCCCTCAAATCCGAAACCCACAAACGTGCCCCAACGAACCTGGACAAAAGAGAAACAGAAGGTCTGTGTGCTGGAGGGTTACCTGGTCCTCGGCAGAGCAGTTTTTCAGACCTGTCATCTCTTCTTTCCTGGGGTTTGGATGACAGAACAGTCACTCTTTCTGGATCTAGTTTGTTAATTCTTATTTTCCAAGTTCATCATTATCTTGTGACATGCAGAATTATCGATGTAGATCTGTATATAATGTTCTTTCTCTTTTGGGGTCCCCTTTAATCCATGCTTCTTTCCTCCCCTGCATTCTTACTATGCTGATTTTATCTTCCTTCTTCTTATCTGCCTGAATAGTCTACCTAGGAGTATATCTATTTAAACGGGTTCGCAAAGTAATATCTCTTACAAAATAAATGTTGTTTTTGCATTTTTTTGTTTTTTAATTGCTGCATTTATATTGTAAATTCTCCCTTTCTGCTTTTTCTTCTTCTTCTATAAGCAGAATGGCTGGAATTGTTTTATTTTTTCCCTGTGTGATGGTGAAGATGCTGAAGACTGGCTTCCTTATTTATTTTTTCATTTGTTCATTTTTAAAATTAATTAATTTATTTTTGTTACAGATGTTTCTCCCTTTTCCCCCACTGATACCCTTTCCCCTCCCTCCCCGCCCTGTCCCCAGCTTTGTTGTCCATGTCCATACATGCATAAGTTCTGTGGTTTATCTCTTCCCCCCACCCCCTCTTCTGGGGATTGTCAGTCTGTACCCCACTTCCACGTCTCTGGGACTACCCCGTTCCTCAGACTGTTATGTTCATTATATTCCACAAATAAGTTAGATCACATGATACTTGTCTTTCTCTGCTTGGCTTGTTTTGCTTAGGATAATACTCTACAGGTCCCTCCATGTCGTCTCAAAGGATAAGAGATCTTTCTTTCTTACAGCTGCATAGTACTCCATTGTGGCCAAGAGACATATGAAGAAATGCTCAACATCACTAATCATCAGAGAGATGCAAATTAAAACAACGAGGTATCACCTGACACCCATCAGAATGGCCGCCATCAACAAATCATCAAACAACAAGTGCTGGCGAGGGTGTGGAGAAAAGGGGACTCTAGTCCACTGCTGGTGGGAATGCAGACTGGTGCAGCCACTATGGAAAACAATATGGTGTTACCTCAAAAAGTTAAAACTGAACTTCCATAAGACTGGCTTCCTTAAATGAAGGATGCTGGGTTATCTATTCATTCAGATCTCTCTGGAGTCTCTCCAGCTCCCAGCTCCTCCTTGTCCTGAAACCACAGGCAAGATTACTCATTGCAAACACCCACTCGAGTCCGGGAGTATCAGCTCCTCCGTCCTGAGAATTTTAAATTGGAGCTCAGAAATATGAAAGACTTTTTCCCCCTCCTTTATGAATGAAGATGTAGCGTCCGTATTCAGCACCGAGTTAACACTGACTGAGCTCAGATATCACAGTGTCATTAATTCCATGGTTTCCTTGTAGGGAAGAGGTGGGTGGAAACGAAGAAGACTTAAATTAAAAGAGATGGGGGGGGGGGGGATGAGCCAAGAAAGGCTCACAGGAGGATGTGGGACTTCCCTAAAGGGCACGAAGGAGTGTGTATTTTCCTGGGTGCTGTCCACCTGCAAACATCTCACATGCTCATGTCCAAAGGCCAAACTGCTCACAGAGAGTGAAAATACCTCTGTTTTCCCGGGGCTACACCCTCACCCTCTGAATCATTCCTTGTCGATTAAGCCACACCTCAGCCGCGCATCATAACCGTTCGTGTTTGTCAGAAAGTCTTCCTTCAGCACTGAACATAACCCCACAGGAGATCCAAACTGACCACATGGTACCTTTTATCTGCTCTCCGCTCATCTCATGTTTTGCATTTTGATCTCAGTACTAAATTTCTGAGATGTTTTCCCCCCGTGGAATTTTTTCTCTTGGTCAGCTTGAAAATCGTTTTCATTTATTTTTATCGTTATCATTTTTAAAGGTCAGTTAATGAGAACAAAGCTGCTGACCCCGGGCTTCCTTCCTGCTGGTGAACCCTCTTTGGGCCCCTGCGCCCTGGCCCTCAGCACGGGCCCGGGTACAGAGGCCCTTCCAGAGCCACAGATCCGGTGGTGTTTCCACTTGGAGGGCCGGCCAGAGAAGAGGCTAGTCCAAGAGGGAGCACGTGCAGGGGAGTGCGGAGTGCAGTTCGGGCTGTGAGTAGCTCCTGGCAGAACCGGCCCGAGCCAGGCGGATGGCTGGTCAGAGCAGGGGGTGGGGGTCTGAGGAGGCTGCGGACGCCGCGGACCCTGCAAGTCCCTTCGTGGTAAGGCTTCTGCGGTGCCACCCAGGACAGCCGCGCACCAGGGCCCTGGCCACCTCCCTCCCCTCCCCCGCCGCCCACAGCGCCTGCGCAGTCCCCGTGAGCCCGCCTGCTGGGCTGGCGAAGGGAAGGCAGCCCGCCGGAGGGGTGGCGCCAGGGACCGCGGGCCGGCGGCCAGGACACCTGCGCGCCTTCTTCCCAGCCTCTGCCATTTGGCGCGGACCTTGCCCGGCTCCCCACCCCCGGCCCCCTCCTTTCTCCCCCCAACCCCCTGGAGGCCACTTCGCTTTCGTTTCCTGGTGGCCCCACCCACCTCGCCGGGGATTCTTAGCGGAGCCAGGGCGGCGGGACTACGCCCATGGCCTTCGCCCGCCGCGCCGGCGCCAGGCTGCTCGCGCTCCTGCCCCGGCCGCGGAGCAGGGCCTGCGCTGGGACCATGGCACAGCCGCGCTGCTTCGCGCTCGAGCTCCCCGGCTGCGCCCTGGCGCACTTCGCCGTGGGCACCGCCGCCGAGGGCACCGCCGCCCCGGGCGCGCTCCCCGACCCCCGCGCCGCCGCGCTCCTGGGCCCCCCGGGCCGCAGCTACTCCCTGTGCGTGCCGGTGGCGCCCGGCAGGGACTGCGCGGCGCGGGTGCGGGCGGCCCGGCTGCACCAGCGCCTCTTGCAACAGCTGCGCCGCGGACCCCTTAAGCGATGCCAGCTGCGCCGGCTGCTGTGCTACTGCCCGAGCGGCGGGGTGGGGGGCCTGCAGCAAGGCGTCCTGCTCCACGACCCCTGCGACAGCCCGGACACCAGGCGCGCGCTCCTCGCCCTGCTGGACTCTTATGTGGAGGCCCCACGCCCGTGCCTGGGCGAGTTCATGGGCGACCCGCGCCACCAGCTGTGGCAGCGCCCGTGGGAGCTGCGAGACGGCCAGGGGTGGCGTCAAGTGGACCCCGAGCCCGTCGTGTCCGCCCCGGAGCCCACACTGCACCCGGTGGTACCCGACCTGCCCAGCTCCGGGGTCTTCCCCCACCGGGAAGCTGCTCGGGCCGTTTTGGAGGCGGTAAGTTTCTGTCCCTTCCCAGCACTCGGGGGGACCCTAGGTCCCAGAAGTGGAAGGAGCCTGGGGCGGGGCTGCTTGTCCAGCTCTCTGGCCGGGTCGCTGCTTTGCTCCCGTGTGCACGTCTGGTCCCGTGTGCATGTCTGGTCCCGTGTGCACGTCTGGTCCCGTGTGCACGTCTGGTCCCGACGGCGGCCTCTGTGCAGGGCTCTGTCCAGATGCCTTGACCCTTTCCCAGTTCCCACCAGCCAGGACCAGCCACCAGCCTGCAGTAAACTGGCACCCTAGAGGGGGCTGCTGCTGGACACAAGACAGGGGGGCAGGTGTCGCTGGTTATGGGGGAGATGTCAGCTGGAAGGAACCCCACGTCTCCACCCCTGATCCCTTAGCTTGCTGACTGCTCTCTTCAGAACCTACAAGGTAGCTGATTCGACACATTGGACACATTGTTGCAGTCAGCTCCGAGTTCCAATGTTCCTGGGTCACTGCTCTGTAACTGTGTGTCACTCCGGTCCTTCCCCTGGGCTCAGGAGGGCTGCAGTCTGGGTGATCCTGGTGTGCCCGCCTCTTGGAGCTGCAACCAGGCAGTACACCTAAAGCCATCCAACCTCGGGTCCAAAACACTCTGCGTTTTGACCTGGTGCCGAGCATCACGCGGGCCCTGCCAGGGGCAGGCAGTCTGCTGTCGCCGACTGGCTTCGCAGCCGTGCGCCGCTTCTGCTGATGCTCGGACGCTGTTTTGCAGTGCACGCCCTTCATACCCGAAGCCCGAGCCATGCTTGACCTGGTCAGCCAGTGCCCTGCACAGGTCCAGAAAGGCAAATTCCCGGTCATTGTCATTGAAGGACTGGATGCCACAGGTAAGAGAATGTTCCCTTTTAGCCGTGGCGACAAGGTTAATCAATCAGTTGCAGGAATACACAGGTCTGGACCAACAAAACTTCATACCGAGTTCAGATAAGCCTCCGGGAGCCTGTGGTTTGTGCTGGCAGGGAGCTGGGCAGGCCCGGGAGGCCCTGGAGGGCTGGGGGCATTGAGCCTCAGCTGGCCAGGGCAGGACGCAGCCTGGGCTTGGAGGCCAGGGCGCGGAGACCGGGCAGGGGAGCTGGGCGGGTTGGCGGCAGGCTGTGTGTTCAGGGCTGGTGGGGGAGGAAGGCAGCTCGGGTCCTGACGAGGAATCAGCACGTGCAGTGTGAGACCTGACCAGGGTCGTGCGTCTGGGGCTCACAGGCGGACAAGAAGCCCTTCTGGGGGCACAAGGCAGCAGAAGTAGGAAGTGGCGGCGGGGGGCCTTTGGAGGTGCCAAATGGGTGTCAAAATACGGTGGAGGACGGTGAGGTGCCCGCACTCAGCCCCGAACACAAGCAGAAGTGTGGCCTGTGGGCAGCAGGAGACCGAGGACAGTCTTGGGGAACATCAGTGTCACCTGTTTGGAGGCCGCAGGGGCTCCGGCCCAGGTCAGCTGAAGGTGTTGGGAGGAATGGCCTCCATGCCGGAGTCCGGTTCGTTTGTCAGCAAGAGGACCCGTTTGGCTGTCTTCCAAGTATTCTCACACAAACAGGAATCCCACGTTCCCCGGGTCCGCGGCTTCCCGTGAAGAACCACATTATTTAATCACCTGCTTTGATTCACAGGCCGAAAGACTGTCTTTGCTTCTTCGGATGTGATAGGAACTCCTGGGTGTGACGTAGTGGCGAGGGCTGAGGCGCGCCGTGTCCTCTCTGTGACCCGCAGTGGCGAGGGCTGAGCTGCGCCGTGTCCTCTCTGTGACCCGCAGGTAAAACCACGGTGACCCAGGCAGTTTCGGATGCGCTCAAGGCCGTTCTCTTAAAGTCGCCGCCTGCCAGCATCAGCCAGTGGCGGAAAGTCTTCGATGACGAACCAACCATCATAAGAAGAGCTTTTTACTCTTTGGGCAACTACATCGTGGCTTCCGAAATAGCCAAAGCATCCGTCACATCCCCGGTGGTTGTTGACAGGTGAGTGTGAAGATGAATTTGGCGGTTTTTCTTGATGTGTGTGCGTGTACAAATACACTTGTGTTTGTTAAGTGAAACTGTACTATAACAGGAGTAATGTCTGTGGTGTATACTCACCTACCCCACTGCCTGGCATTTGGCTGAGAACCCTGCCTGCACTGTACTAGAGCTGGAACGACGACTTGGCTAGGCGGGTACTGGACATTATCCCCAATTCACTGATGAGGGACACGGGTCTGAGAAACGCTAAGCAAGCCCCCCAAGTGACTGAGCAACTGCACGTTGGGACAGGAACCAATTCTCGCTGCACCAGTCAACGCTTTCACCGGCTTCCTGGTTCACGGGCGCAGTCGACAAACGTGGATTGGCCACCTACGGTGCGCCAGAAACTGTTCCTAGTTCAGGGCCGTCGATGGCAAATGTCATGGAGCACACATGCTGTGGACGGGAGCACGATCCTCAAGGGCGTAAATGCATAAGGTCATACCAGAGAATGCTAAGTCCCCTGCAGACGATAAGTCAAGACTCCATGACAGAGGATGGCATACTCACGGTGAGCCCTGAATGACCACAGGGAGACAGATGTGACATTTGGGACTAACAGAGAGCAACGTGGAGAGAGAGCAGCGGGACAAAGCACGAGACAGGAAGAAGTCGCCGTGCTTGAGGACTCGAGACAGGCCGGTGCACGAGGGGTGCTTTCTGCGGGAAGGAGGACGGAGGGCAGGGCAGGGGGTCCTGGGGCGGCAGCTGTGGGCAGACGTGTGGTGTTTCTTCTGAGAGCAGTGGAGAGCCGTCGGAAGGTTTTGAATGAAGGACAAACGTAAACGGAATTATATTTTTCAAATTTAAAGCGGAAGCAACAGCGTCAACAGTGGACCAAGGCAGGCCACGCAGGCGTGTTCCCCTTGACACGGTGGCAGGGGAATGACAGTTGGCGGAGATCGGATTTCCATCTCATCAGGTCGAGGGAGTTTGAGGGACGTAGCGGAGTGGGGAGCTCTCGCGGTAGTCTGCTTCAGTGCAGCTCATGACTGAGGCTTCGAGAAACCAGAAGCCCCCCGAGAGGCAAGGGTATGTAAACATGCGTTTACATGGAGCGGCATGAATTGCAAAGAGCACAGCTTCACGTGGGAAAACCAGGGCAGGAAAGGGGTTCGGTAGAGGACACGCCGGTGCGAAGGGCAGCGGACAGAGGGTGAGGGCTGTTGAACCAATTGGGGAGCCTCTGTCCCCGGGGACCAGAGCAAGGAGCTGACCTGGAGGGCAGAAGGCCTCCTGTGGCACCACTGCCTCTGGGCATCACTGGAACGTGTGTGTTGCTCTGTCTGCGGTTTCCGTGATTGCGGGAAAGATAAACACCTGCAATGAAGTGGGGCAAGTGTTCGGGGGAGGAGGTTGGTCCCACGTGTCACTCTCAGGGAATTTCAGGAGGTGGACGCATCCAGCCTGAACTGCACCCAGTGGAGACTTGGGACTTTCCCTGCCCCAGCCCTCGCCCCGCCCCAGCCTCTCCTCTCCCAGCCGCTGTGGTGACCTGTGGTCACTTCCATCAGCGAAGGTGAGCCCTGCCTGTGGCTGAACTTTGGCAGGTGAACGGGAAGCACCTTTGCACCCGGCTTCCCTCAGCCGCCTGTGGGGACACCTCCTGTCCCCAGGAGCGTCCTTGGTGCACACGGGTGTGCTTCTGTCCTGTAGGGCCCCTTGAGTGGAGTGAACTGTGGGGCACGGGCTCCCCTGCGTTCCCCTTCAGCAGGTATTGCAAGATGCTTCCGGAGCAAGGGAGCCGCCCACCGTGGGCTGGGCACTGTGGGCTGGGGGCTGGGGGCTGGGCACTGTGGGCTGCGGGCTGGGGGCTGGGCTGGGAGCTGCGGGCTGCGGGCTGGGGGCTGGGCTGGGAGCTGCGGGCTGCGGGCTGGGGGCTGGGCTGGGAGCTGCGGGCTGGGCACTGTGGGCTGGGCACTGTGGGCTGCGGGCTAGGGGCTGTGGGCTGGGCGCTGGGGGCTGGGCACTGTGGGCTGAGGACTGGGGGCTGGGGGCTGGGGGCTGCGGGCTTGGGGCTGGGGGCTGGGGGCTGCGGGCTGCGGGCTGGGCTCTGGGGGCTGGGGGCTGGGCGCTGGGGGTTGCAGGCTGGGGGCTGGGGCCTTCGAGCTGGGGGCTGGGGGCTGGGCGCTGTGGGCTGGGCACTGCGGGCTGTGGGCTGGGGCTGTGGGCTGGGGGCTTGGGGTTGGGGGCTGCGGGCTGGGGGCTGGGCTCTGGGGGCTAGGCGCTGTGGGCTGGGGGCTGCGGGCTGGGGGCTGGGCGCTGCGGGCTGGGGGCCGGGGACTGGGGGCTGTGACAGACCTGGACGGGGTCCTGGCAGCACTCGCCTGCCCCTCACCAGCTCTGCCTCTGCTCCCGGGCAAGTGCTCAGGGAAGGGCCCGTTTGCGCATCTGGAAACAGACTTCTGTCCCTTTCTCAAGTGCCCTGTCCCTGGTTTGTCCCCGTTTTCTCCGTCTCAGAATTGCTGCAGGCAGAGGGCGCTGCGCAGGGGGCGGGGCCGGGGCGCGGAGAGAAGTCGGTGCGCAACCCAGCCCCTCAGCCAGTGGGCAGTGCCCAGGAGCCCTGGGGAGGCAGGGCAGCTCTTCCTTCCCAGACTCCTCTGCTGGGGTGCAGTCCTCGCCCTGTTGTCACGGTGCCTGACGCTGCCACTCGGGTCGCCTTGCTCCTGAGGTCTCCTTCACGTCCAGGAGAAAGACTCTGCTTCCCCGACACACTGGCACCCACGAGGCCACACACAACCCACGGGACTCCGGGAAAGCGGTCCCTGCGCCCCGTCGGCCACTCTTGACTGGCTGGTTTTTAAAATGTTTTGGGGAAGAACAGGACAGCACCACCACGAGAGCATCCAAGCAGCCCTCCCCTTTGGGGACCCACCGAGGCCGGCCACGTCCTGAGGAGCCCGGAGACCGGAGCGAGCGGCGCAGGCTCCCACGTGTGGGCAGGTACCCCGTCCCGCTTCCCGTCTGCCGATGGGGTAGTGTGACCCCTTCCCCGCTGACCGCCGAGGCTGGTGACAAATGGCACCGGGGACACGCAGGGGAATGCTTTGAAGACAGTGGATGGTGCTCAGATACGAAGCATCATCTTCTGAGCCGTGTGTAATGTGTCGGCAGATTGCGTCCGCTTTGAACTAGTGGGTTCCCGGGGGCAGGAGTGGAGAAGATTAAACCGTGAGAGTGGGAACTCTATGGCCAGAGGACACGGTCTTTACCACGGGCCACGGTGCTGGCCGGGGGAGAACGCCACCTTGCAAAAGGCTGGGCTCGTCCCCATTCTTCTTCTTCATGGCCATGAATTGCCTGCAATTTTGTCCTTCAAAGAGATCCTGGGTCACCTTGTCCCACGACAAGAAAAGAGGCGCTGTCTGTGGTCTGGGTGGCTTTTGTGTCCAGCACAGTGTCCCGTGAATGACGGTAACGCCATCGTCCAGCTGCAAGTACAGGGAGACGGATTTCCGGTGGTGGCTGTGCCGAGACCTGGCGTCATTGCCCGTTACCGTTAGAGGTCTGTTCCTGCTCGGGGCCTTTCTGCGGCAAGAAGGCAGTTAAGAGAGCCTCTGCTTTCGTAGCCGAGTGTTTAATTCGCTGAGCGTGGGCCAGGCCCCAAACGCAGGGCGAAGTGTAGTTCGGTGGCCGAGAAAGGGGCGTCCTGGCCTTTGTGTGGCTTTGGGGAGCTCGGGAGACAAGATTTGCCTGCCGGAGAAGGTGGGCGCACTGAGGGGGGTGCTGCTGGAGGAGTGGGTAGTGGTGAGAGCCCGTAGGTGACAGAGGAACGAATGAGTGCCTGTCCCGGGTCGAATTCTGAGCTCGCAGCGACAGTGGGTCCCAGGCTTCGGAGAGTGGACGGCATTGGGACCGAGCCGCAGCCAGTCAACAGTGACCGACTTGGCTCCGGGACGCCGTCCCCGGAGATGCGTGGGTTGCGTTTGGGTTTCTGCCTCTCGCTGCCCCGTACTGGTGCACAATCAGCGACTGCAGGGTCGAGAGGGACAGTCTGCAGCCGGGGTCCCCGGAGGGGCATCGGCAAGTGCGAGTTCGCAACAACGTGGGGACTGAATGGGCTGAGGGTGGTTTGGGCAGGGCACGGCCTTGCGGGCAGAGGCTCTGACACACAGGTCTCTGGTCCGTGCCCGCCACCCCACCTTAGAGGAAGGCACAGTGCAAGGCCAAGCGTGCGCCAGGGTCATCTCTCCCTCGGTGCGGAGCCCGTGGCGTTCTCTTTGTGGCTGTGGCTTTTACCTCTCACATTCTATACATACTTGAAGAAATAAGGTCCTATTTTATTTATCGAACTGATGCATTGCTAGGAAACCTTGAGCAGAGCCATCCCTGTTTCATCCTCCTCCTCACTGGCTGATCTTCAGAGGCGACCCTTTTGATTGCTTCTGCACACGGAGAACTCACCCCTCCTTTGCTTCTCAGGTACTGGCACAGCACGGCCACGTATGCCATCGCCACCGAGGTGAGTGGGACTGTCCACCACCTGCCGCCGGCCCATCACCCTATATACCAGTGGCCGAAGGACCTGCTCAAACCTGACCTGGTCCTGCTGCTGACCGTGAGCCCTGAAGAGAGACTGAACAGGATCCAGGGCCGGGGCCTGGAGAGGACCAGAGAGGAGACTGAGCTGGAGGCCAACAGCATCTTTCGTCAAAAGTAGGTATTCGGGCCCCCGGCCACAGCGAGAGCCAGGCTCAGCACCGACTGTACGAATCTGGCGAAATGATCTCGTTCCCGTTTTTCAAACCCAAGAGGCAGCTTCTCGAAGCCGGTTCCGACCCTGCCCATGGGCTGCAGCGTAGTTTGAAAGTGGTGGGGGTTCGGCTGGGGGCAGACCTCCCGGCCCCTGCTGTGCCCGGAGCAGGGTGTGCGGGGCAGGACCACCGCGCCTGGTCTCGGGCCCCACGCACTGCAGTGGGCACAGAGCTGTCTGGTGAGCTCCGGGACTCCACTCGCCCTGCTCTGCGACAGGCATGTCCCCTACGGTTACCGAACTGGGACCCCAGAATCACATGCCTTGTCTAACTCCGCATAGGTGCCGATCGGGGAAAGTGCGGTTAGAATCGAGTTCTTTCTGACATAAGGCAGCTTTCGCATCCGTGAAAACTGGGGCTGCAGCAGGGGACGGTCAGAACCACCGTGCTGCCCCCGGGCGGAGTGTGGGCGCCTCTGCAGGACAGACTTGAGGGCCGCCACCTAGTAACTCCTGCGGAGCCCATGGCAACACTGTGACTAACAGAACGTACATAACGACCTGCTATTGATTCAGTGGACCCCGGACTCGCTTGCCAGGTGGGCACTGTTCCCGCCTTGGGAAGAGGAACCGTTAGCCACGCCTCAGCCACACCCCCTGTGCACCCAGGTGGCTGGCACTGAAGGGGACGAGGACTTCCTGTCACCTTTCGGAGGGCTCGTACGTGGCAGCAGTGGGTATGCTGAGGCCCTCTGGCTGAGTGACATCCGGCTTGTCTGATATCCTTCAGAACAGACTTCGGAGACAGTTGTCACCGGGCCGATTATTTATCTCTTTGAGCCCCCACTACGCCGTCTGCATAACGGGGTGCCCGGGGCTCCTCCAGAGGTCACTCTGAGTGCGAGGTGGGGAGACCCATGCGGAGCCCTCGTGCTTGGCGGGCAGTAGGTGCTCCGAGGTGCCGCGGGTAAGCATCACGTGTTAAACACTGTCTCCCGGGTACTGTGGGCAGGTAGCGGCCCAGGGAAGCTGTGGGGTACACGGATGGGAATCTTGTTTAAGCTGCTGATGCTACGGCAGGAAAAGGCCTTTCGTACGAAGGGCGATGCTGAAAAGCGTGTGCGACCTGTTTGTTCTCCCGCCCCCAGGGTGGAAGTGTCCTACCAGCGGATGGAGAGCCCTGGCTGCCGCGTGGTGGACGCCAGCCCCTGCAGGGAGACGGTCCTCCAGACCGTCCTGAGCCTGATCCAAAGCCACTGCAAGCAGTCATAGTCACTCGGCCGGGACACGTCCACTCCACGTGAAGTTTGCTGTGTCCCAGCCCACGCCGGCTCATGACGTCTCCCGACTTCTGTTGTAAGCGTGTCGTGTGGCGGGAAACGGGACCAGGCGTTTTACCTCCGTTACTGTGCTTGACTCCGACCGGCGGACCCACCGGGGTTGACTGGTCACCATCCGGAGGGAATTCGGAGATTGCTTTCCTCCACGGACGGACAGCACTTTTCCTTGGAGTGCATATTTTTAAATTTTATTTTCTTTCTTTAATTTTAGAGAGAGAGGAAGGGAGAGGGAGAGAGAGATGGAAACATCAATGAGAGAGAACATTGATCGGCCACCTCCTGCATGCCCCCCACTGGGGATCGGACCCACAACCTGGGCACGTGTCCCGACGGGGCATTGAACCGGCGACCTCTTGGTGCCTGGTTGACGCTCAACCACTGAGCCACACCGGCCAGGCGTGGAATGTATTTATAATTACATCCCTACCGAAGGCCTTCCAGGCTTGTCCTCGGGAAGCATGTGGTGTACTAAAGCACCCGGAAGGTCCCCGAACCCAGCAGAAGTCTCACCCCAGCCTCCGCCTGCCCACGCCGGGCTCCCCAATGACACCCTGACAAGGTGAGGGCCCCCGGCCTGGCTGCACTCCCTCGTCCTGAGTCAGCCCCAGGGCCCGGAGCCAAGCACCCCTGCTCAGCTCCTCTGCGTGTCCTGACTCCCACGGGCCGTCTCGAGCGCGGGTGGCACTGAGCGTCTGGCCTGCCCACGGCTCACAGCCCTGACACTGCCAGACAGGGAGCCAGTCTCCCCAAGATGCTCCGAGCACAGGCACGCCAACCTCCCTTAGCTTATATCCTGCCTGTTTCGGTGCCGCCCCTCCTCTGGCTTTGGGTAGAATGAGCGTTTGCCCTGAGCCGAGGCGTCCACCTCCGCGTGCGGGGTCGGCACAGTGTTCCCGCCGCCGTGCGCAGCGCAGGGACCGCGCCTCTCGAATGAGCAGGGCCAGGCAGCCACGGCGGGGCCGGCTGCGCCTCTCACCCCACGACCTAATTCGTTGACCGCAGAGCACCGTGGAGCCTGGAATGGGCTTCTCAGTGAACTGTCGGGCACTCGACTGTCTTAGGTCGCACATGGGAACAGCTTGGCGACCTGTTCCCCGAGAAAACAGGAAACCTAATAGCTTAGTGGCCTTGGGCGAGTCATTTAGCATCAGGAGTCCAGGAAACTTGATCTGAAATGTGAGAATAATTCTGTATTTGTCTACAGGAGTGGGCTGAAGCAGGGATTACCTAAAATTTCCGGCTCTGAGCCAGATAAGTGAATGTCTCAGGTAGACATTCCCCCCAAATAATTATATTTGAGGCTGTATCAGGTTCATCACAGGAAATCTTAAGTTGAAATAAAATCTGGTATGGACTCTATCAGACTGTTTTTCAAAAGAACCGTAGGTGATTTATACACAATGGATCAATGTATAAAACTACGCAGCCGGTTTCCGTGGAAACTGTTTCCAAGCTGACGCATAGTGTTCGGGCTCTTTGCGACGTCTCTGATCGTGTTGTTGGTGCTGGTGGGACCCCCGAGAGGCTGGGCTGCTGCCCAGAACATCGAGCACTGACACCCTTCCTGTCCCTCGCAGATTAATAAATGCACCGTGCTTCTCGCCTGTGCTGTTGTCACAGGGTGTGTCCGTTGTTTTGAAGGTGCCCCTCCAGTGTGGCTCTGGGACAGGAAGAAATTTGGGGCAAGAAAGGGGAAGGTGCGCGCTCTGGGCTGGGGGCCACTTGCATCAAGGTGCCTTCTGGGGGAGGGCGGGGGTCGTCTGTGGTGTGTTTCAACCCCGTCGTCGCAAGCACGTGCGATCCCTTCTCCACTGTATTCGTGCGCTTGTCTTCCGACCCCGTAAGACGCGGTTCCTTGTCCGCTCGGGCTCTCTACAGACAGGTGTGTGGTTTGTGAGTCTGATGAGACAGCGTCTCCTACCCAGAAACGGATGGAAGGACTGTCTGCTTGGCTCCGTTTCATTACAAGGTGAGCGTCGCTTCTGTCCCTGCGAGGGACCCTTAGCTGTCCCCACCACCCTCCCTGCCCTCCCTGCGAGGGAGAGGAACCCAAGCGAGTGAGACCCTGCTGGGAGGAGCCTGCAGTCCGGCTCAGGACGCACTAGGGTAGGGCTCACTTGCCAGCAGGTGTCAGGAATGGATCAGGAGAACTTTGCAGAAAGGACAGGCAGGCTAAACTGGACCGAATGAGCACTTCCCACTGGAAGGTCCTGCCGGGCGGCTCAGGGCCGGGGACGCCCCTCATACTCAGTTAAATGCTCGACTAGGTGGTTTTCATCAACTGACTGATTTTAAGATTTTTGTGGGCAAAAATGAAATACAAAACACTTAACTTGTGCCCTGGCCGGTTTGGCTCAGCGGTTAGAGCGTCGGCCCGCAGACCAGAGAAACCCGGGTTCAGTTCCCGCTAAGGGCACATCTCTCGGTTGCAGTTTGTCCCCGGCCCCGGTTGGGGTCATGTGAGTGGCAACCAGTCGATGTGTCTCTCTCACATCGATGTTTCTCTCTCTCTCTCCCTCCCTCTCTACCTGAAGATAAATGCAAAAATGTCCTCGGTTGAGGATTAAAAAAACACAAAAACAACAACAACAAAAAAGAAAACACTGAACTTGGACCTGTGCATGTCATTTGGAGACTCTGCCCTAGTTGAACTCTATTTTGCAGCATTTCGTTGTTGATCTTGAACTCACACACACACACATACACACACAGTGTGTGGAAAACCTGTAACAAATTGCGCGTGGTTCTGTCCCGTGGTTCTGTCTGTGAGCACCCACCTTTCCACCAGGGGGGGAAGAGCGCTCCTCGGAAGGGTTTCCAGGTTTTGCTGAGATAAGAGTCCCCCTGAGACGCACACACTGGAGAAACAAGAGGTTCCTTTCATTTTTACTGAGATGTCTGTGGCAATTCTAGCTCAAAGGCAGAGACAGGATGCTGCTAGGTCAAAGGGGCAAGTCTTTAAAAGTGGCTAAATCTCTTGCTTCAAGAATTCTAAACCCAGTGCTGGGGTCAAGAAAATACCCCAAGGATGACCTTAGTGAGCGTAGAACTCAGTCTCTTTCCTCAGTGACTGTGGAAAACGGGGCCCCGGAAGGGCCTGCCCTACCGAGAGTTGGAAGATTCGCTAGTGACGCGTGAAAGATAGAAGTGAGTTTCCAATTCTTGTTCTGGTGCTGTTTCCAAAAGCAACAGGCTTTGTTGGCACCCCCTGCACTGCCCCCATGGTCCATGCACACCCACGTGTAGGTATTTGTATGTGTGTGTGTGTGTGTGCACACGGATTCTCTTCCCGCTGAGTGATTTATGACTTGAGAGGTTTACGATTTGAGCCCTGGCATGGAGGCACATTCCGGGGCTTTTCTGTGTTCCTGTTTATTTGCTCTTAAAACCTCCCCACCCCGAGGCCCCTCCTACATAACTCTAGAATCAAAAGGCTTTGCTTATACTGGAAATGGCTAAGGGCCGCCACCAAGGTCCCTGCTCTCCCAGTCCTCGACCAATCACCAAAATACCGTGGTTTGGATAGCACATCATAAACTTCCCTGTGAAGTCTCCCAGATGTTTATGAACACGCAGGACCTGAATGGTTGTGCTTATTGGCCATAATGGAAGGTGTGGTCCATGTCTGCAGAACAGCAAGGCTTCTGAGTGGGCTATCCAAGTGCACCTGAGGTCCAGCCGGGCTGTGCGTTCCCCCAAACACAGGGCTGTCCTGCCCACCTTCCAGGTAGGAAAGATTATTTTTTGTTTTAACTGGGAAAAACCAAAACCAACGTTCTGTGTTGATGCTGTTTAAAAAAGCAGTCAACAATTGTATGCTGGTTTGAGGCTATAAAGTAACATTTCTTTCAGCATTGCCTGCAGTCAGAATTTCTTTAAGGAGTTTTCCTCACGTGTCCAAATATTCTGAGTCGCAGCCCTGGTCTGTTTCCACCTGGAGACAGTTCACAGAGCTGAGAACGAGGGTCAGGGTTAGGGGGTGTGGAGGTGCAGTTACAGAGGGAACTGTGGACAGATTGTGGTCATCCTTTTATTTATTATTTTTTATCCTCACCCTAGGACATTTTGCATTTATCTTCAGATTGAGTGGAGGGGGAGTGGGAGGAAGAGAGAGAGAGAAACATTGACGTGAGAGAGACACATTGACTGGTCGTCACCCGCACGACCCCAGCCAGGGGCAGGGACAAACTGCAACTGAGGTTCGTGCGCTTAGTGGGAACCAGACCCAGGAATCTCAGGTCCGCGGGCCGATGCTCTAATTGCCGAGCCAAACCAGCCAGGGTGCCATCCTTTTAATAAAAAAATATTACATTGTCTTCTTCTGTGTGCTGATACTGCAGTGGATGAGAGCACACCTGGATGAAGCACATGTACCTGTGTCTCCCAGCCCAGGGGCCCCTGATCTCAGCTAAGGGCCTGTATTTAACAAAGGTTGGGCTGGGAGAGAACTAACCCTCCTCCTCCTCCTCCTCCTCCTCCTCCTCCTCCTCCTCCTTCTAGTGGTCATGACTTCATAATTACATAGGGACTGGAATTCATTTATAGTCCTAAATCCCTTATACTTTTTTAACAGGATCGTAACACAAGGTATGTTGTTATAATGCCATTTTATTATGTTTCAGTAACTTGGGAGAGAGCCTGGTGTTGGTACAGAAAGCATTACATAATGCATTGGTTCCCCTAAATCCTTTACGTAAATTCGTATTTTATAAGCAAAGAAATGCTCCAGATTCCCTGGGGAAATCTGTGTGTGCCCACTTCTCACTCCCCACCGGACCCTGCATGTTCCCCAGGAACTGCCCCGTAACCTCTGCACCGCCTCTCTGCCTACACTCTGCTGCCCCCTGCAGGCCAGGCTTTGTGCGGCACCCAGTGTGAGCCTGGGGTCACCTTTTCCTCGCACTTAGGGCTTCACTGAGGTCCTCCTCCAGGCCCCCGTTCAGTGTTACTCCTAAGACAGGTCTTTCCCTTTAGTCCGAAATACCTTCCGTCAGCCTCTGCCCCTCCACTCTGACGCATGCTGCCCGTCTCTGTTTATGTCCAGTCCAGCCTAGTCTAGTGGCCACCTACATCCACCTCATGCATGCCCTGTCTCCATCTGCTGTCCCTGTGTCTCTGTCTCTGTCTCTGTCGCTAACTCTGTCTCTGTCTCCATCTGTCTCTATCCCTATCTCCGTCTCTGTCTCTGTCTCTACACACACACACACCCCATGTGTTCTCGTC